GCACGCCGCCACGTACTGGGTAGGGACACTCTACCACTGATCTACATCCCCAGTGCTTTTCAGAGTGAAAAATAAAAAATGTAGTTTGAGACAGGGTCCAACAAAATTGCTAAGGCTGCCCTCCAACTTGCGGTCCTCCTGCCTCAGCCTCCCAAGTAGCTGGGATTACCAACGTGTGTCACCGCACCTGGCTCACTCTTATTAATCATGTGCATAAATCTGCCCATTTACATCCCCAACCTCACTTTGCCTCCACGTAACAGAAAGATGAGTCACCTGCCAAAACCTTATAAGTCATTTGCATTTCCAGTATCTGAGAAAGTAGTTCCCTAATTGGGGCACTACAAGTAGATTCCCCTTAGTGCTTCCCTGTAATCCCTGTTCCTCAAGAGGCTGAAGCAAAGAGGATGGAGAGAGGCCAGCCCAGGAAACATAGTGAGACTCCATCTCAAAAAAAAAAAAAGTAAAAAGTAGTCCCCCCTCTTCCAGTTTCTGTTACCCCATATACCATGGTCCCAAAATAATAGTACAATACGGTAAGATATTTTGAGAGGACATTCACAAACTTTGGTTACAGTATATAATTGAACTACTTTATAATGTCTCATTGTGCGTAATTTATAATTAAACTTTATCATAGGGTTGTATGTGCAGAAAAAATTTAGTACTATCTGTGGTTTCACGCATCCACTAAATGTTTTCAAACATTATCTACCAAGTTTTACCCAGTTGCCATAGGCCAAAATATAGTAGCCAAGTAAAATTTAAATATACTTACAACAAACAGCCTTAATTTAGAACAATATTTATCAACATACATTCCTTGAACTATCTGCAGCTGAAAACCTTCAGCTTGTATTAAGAATGCAGATTCTAGGGATCTCTCCCAGACCCACTGAGTCTGGACCTTTGAGGATGGAGTATCTCCCCAGGTGGTTCTAGTACACTTTAAAAGGTAGCTACCCATTGCTTTGTTCACTGGTAAAATTAGGGCAAACATTCCTAACATAACTTCCAAAGAGATAAGAACAACAGAACAAAGATCTCTGAAGGTGAATGACTTGTGACCTTGGGATTTCTGACTCTCAGTTTAATATTTGCTCATTTTTCAACTGCAAAACAAAAGAAGGGAGAAATCAAAAGTCAAAGTATTTGTATATACATTAATATACAAAATAATTTCTGATATTGGTTGCATGAATAACACTCTCCCCAGCCAAAGATTCAAGTTCTGGTTTTGTATTCACTGAGAAATCTAGTTTTAGCTTGCGGCTATAATTTTTTTTTTCTTCTAGCTATAGTTAATTGTTTTTTATCTTTGCTTAGATTCTATCATGCTGCAGTGACATTTTTCTAGAGTCTTTGAAGATTTTTCTGCCTGTGGGGATAGCCCGGATTCTCCCTTGAATGCATATTCCTTGCTTGAGATAGCCCCCATTCCCCCTTGAACATATATCTGCTTTCTTAAAATAAACCCCTGTCAATACCTTTGGAAAAGAAAAGAAAGAATAATAGAATCATCTGAAACAAACTTCATTTAGGAGGAGATGTTAAGTAAAAAGATGGGTCATAAACCAGGGGAGGTGGTGCAGCCCTGTAATCCCAGTGATTTGGGAGGCTGAGGCAGGAGGGTCATAAGTTCAAGGCCAGCTTCAGCAATTTAGGGATACCTGTCTCAAAAAATAAAAAGGACTGGGGATATAGCTCAGTGGTAGAGCACCCCTGAATTCAATCCCCAGTATTACCTCCCAAAAAAAGACAGGTTAAAAAAATTAAGTTGTCATTGTTCCAAATTTGCACTAGATATATATATAAGAAACTACCCACAACACCAACACCACAGGTTTTTGTGTTAGGATTAGCCTTCTTTCCCATAAGATATCCCCAAATTTATGTTCAATTTTTAAATTTAAAAATGATAATATACACCTCAAAATGCTACTTCTCAGTTAAAAATTTCATCATTAGTATAATTTTAATTTATTAAAATCTCAAAAGTAATATTAAGAAAAAAGTATTTATACACCAAAATCCTAATACTGTATTTTAAATTATTCATTTCCCGTTTAACATGTATTTACAGGCATACCTACAAGTTTTTAACATAGTGACAGTTTACAAACTTGAGTTGTTTTTTTCTGCTTTGTACTATTTTTAAAACATGTTTGCACATTTCTACAGAGCACCAGAATTATTTTAAAAGTTACTTTTAAAAAATCAAGCTAATATTTATACTTTATCCATTCCTGTAAGTAGGAACATTTCTGTTGTATCTAGTTCCAAGTTACTATAAGCAACATAATTAGAATTATCTCTGCATATAAAGCTTTTTAAATTTTTGTCCTCCTGGGGTCCAACCCAGGGTCTCCCAGATGCTAGATAAAAACTTTGCCACTGAGCTATATCCCTTTTTTTCTTGTAAAAGTTATTACTTTAAGATTCCCAGAAATTTATTACTTTAAATTCCCAGCACTGGTTTTATAAGTTCAAAAGTTATGACCATCTTTATGAATCTTAATATATAACATATTTTCCCCTTGCTATTCAAAAATTACACCAATCTTCATTACCACAAGCTATATGAAAAAGAATCAAATTCCTAAAAAGGCTGACAGGTACAGGTTGTTTTTTTTTTTTTCATTTCAGCATTTCACTTTATTTTTGTTCCTTTACCACACATATTTATGTTTTAATTTTTATTTCTTCATTATGATTAGTACTTTTAAAATCATCAATGTGACAGTTACCATTGTATAAACTTTATGTATATAAAATTATATTTTTATAAGAGCAATTTAAATATTCCCTTAATACGTGAAAGCATTAAAAACCCATCCTGTACATGTTGGATATAATAAAACAAATTTTTAAATTTCCAGGAAGTACTGGTTGGGAGCGTAGTTCAGTGGTAAAGTGCTTGCCAAGAATGCTTCAAGGCATTGGGTTTGATCCCCAGCTTCTCAAAAATAAATAAATACATAAATAACTTTCCAGATAATAAGAGATCTCATTTCACAGAGGGAAAAAAGCACAAAAATTTTAGCTATGAGAGAAAATATATTTTCCTATATTTTTAGCATATTTAACATTTGTACAAAAGTTAATTTTTAAAAGATTCTTTAATTATCCAGAAAAAAAAAATCTTCAAGATTAGAAAGTGCATTTAACCTCCCGTCTTCCTTAAAAATGATCCCATAGAACTTCAAAAGTTCACTGAAGGAAATGGCATGATAAATGCAAGATGACTACTACTATTTTTTAAATACTTAAGAAAACCATTCACTTAAATGACCTACCTGATCTCACCAAGCACGTCAAACTGATAAGTAAGAATAACCTCAGCATATGGAACTGCAGAGAGCTTGGGTCACATTCACAGAAGGATAATTTACTTCGCAGAGCCTTAGAATTTTCACTTCGGGGTTTTGCTCACAGTGAGCTCAGATATCTAATCCAGAGGTGTGGTGACAACAGGAAGTTCCCAAGGGACAGACTGTAGCCCTGTCCTTGACTCCTCCTCCTTTCAATAAAAGGTCAGGTACTTTCAACCTTACACATTTTATGCATATTAAGATATTATAATTTGCCAAATGACGAGTTGAAAATAGTTTCATTCTTTGTGGGCGGTTTATTAGCTGTTTGGCTTGGTATGTTGAAATCAAGTGTGTCTTGAAATCTTCCCCTGGCCAACTCCTTGTGAATGAAATGCCAACTGCATTTAGGATTCTGTTGGCCTGTGTGTACAAAACCATTTTTATGTTAATTCATGCATTCATTCCTTATAGGGCAGTCTTATTTATTTTTAAGCACATTTCATTAGGACCAATTACATATCCATATTTGTAAAATGTATCTGTTTCATATTAAAGGAAACTTTTTTTGTACTGTATTACATATCTTTATTTTATTTTGTTCCCTCCAGAGTTCTGATCTCTAAAGTTCTCCTCTTTTGGGGATTGGGATTGTAGCTCAGTGGTAGAGCGCTTGCCTAGAATGTGTGAGGCACTAGGTTCAATCCTCAGTACCACATAAATAAATAAAGTAAAGGTATAGTGTCCATCTACAACTAAAAAAATAAAAAATTAAATAAAGTTCTCTTTTTAAAGGAAAAGTAAATACAAAGGGCTGAGGATATAGCTCAATTGGTAGAATACTTGCCTTGCATGCACAAGATCCTGGGTTCAATTCCCAGCACTTCCCCCCCTCAAAAAAAAGGAGATACAAAAAACTTAAATACAGAACCATGCCAAAATATAATCCACCTCAGTGTTAGAAGTAACTACACTTGTGTTCCTAGCTACAAAGTAGTAAAGGACTGTAGATGGAGCTCAGTACTAGAACACTTGCCTAGCATGTGCAAGTCCCTGGGTTTGGGACCTAGCACTAAAAAACAAACAACAAGAACATAGCTACAAATGTAATTTAATGGGCTGGGGTGGTGGCTCAGTGGCAGAGTGCTTGCCTAGCACATGTGAGGCACCAGGTTCAAGCCTCAGCACCACATAACAAATAAAATAAAGGCATTCTGTCCATCTATAACTACAAAAAAAAAAATACTTTAAAAAAAAGTAATTTAATTCCCTTTCTGGTTAAAGTGCTTGCAACACCAAAAAATAATATAGAAAGATAATCTAAGAATACATTTTCAAGGCTGGGGTTGTGGCTCAGTGGTATAGCACAAGCCTAGTATGTGCGAGGCCCTGGGTTCAATCATTGGCACCACGTAAAAATAACTAAAATAAAGATATTTATTTTATTTATTTTCATAAATAAAAATAACTACAACTAAAAATTAAATATATTTTTTTTAAAAAAAGAATACATTTTCATCCAAAGCATCAGGCAAAAGCCACCAGTCTCTCTGCATTGTCTATCAGAAATATATTTTTTTATGAAGTAATACCATCTCTCATAAATTGATCAGTTCTCTTTATGTCTGCACCCCATTTAAATAACAGGAGATTCCTTTGCAGAAAGTATCTTTTAGTAATGCTTTTCAAGGAGTCAACACAATAAAATTACCTAGGGAGATTTTAAAAGTACTATATAGGGGCTGGGGTTGTGGGTCAGAGGCAGAGCGCTCGCCTGCCATGCATGAGACATTGGGTTCAATCCTGAGCACCACATAAAAATAAAATAAAGATATTGTGTCTACCTATAACTAAAAAATAAATATTTAAAAAAATAAAAAGAAAGAGAACTATATGTAGATGACTATGTCATGCCTCAGACTACCTGGTACTGGTCCACTAATGAGAGTTCAAACCCCACACCTTCTACTGGCCTTAAGCAAAACTTTTTATTTTTTTATTTTTTATTTTTTGGTACCAGGCATTTAATTCAGGGGCACTCAACCACTGAGCCACATCCCCAGCCCTACTTTTTATTTTATTTAGAGACAGGGTCTCCCTGAGTTGCTTAGTACCTCGCTTTCACTGAGGTTTGCTTTGAATTCTTGATCCTTTTGCCTCAGCCTCTGGAGCAGCTGGCATTACAGGCATTGCACCCCCCACCCCCTGTCTTAAGCAAAACATTTAAGTTCTATAAGTGTAAGTATTCTCAAGCATAAAATGAAGATAGTGAGATCACACCTTGCACAGGGCTGCTGAATGGATTGAATGGGATGTAGCAACTAAAATCCTAGCACTGTGCCTACTGTCAAGGTGAGCTTTGTCACCCCTTAGTAACTACTGTTATCACTATGGGGCCACATGAGTAGTACAGTTCCCTCCCATCAGGAGACAGAGTGCACAGTGTGAGCAGAGGGCACCAGGTGGGAAATTAGGAAGGGAGGGCTCATCAGAGTTATGATACTTCAAGTGAAAGACTTCAGTCAGCACTTCATTCTGTTTTTGTTTTTGTTTCCTGCTTGCAGAAATAAATTAAGGAAGCATAAGTAGGAAAATCAAATAGATGACCCGCCAGCTTTTCTATTTTTTTTTTCCATTTCCTCTAACCTTAGTAATTTAAAAACAACTGCCCTCTGGATCAAATGGAGAATTGTTTCCCATTTCTCTTAGAAACCCGTTAAGGGGCACATTGCTCCCTGTTAGATCAGTGTACTTGCTTAAAAAATATTTTTTGAGTTCCTATCAGTTTTAATTACCATGTCACATGCTTATCTAGACAGAGCCAATATACTTTTTTTTTTTAACTAGCCAATTATAGGAATAATGATTGTTCCAGTTGGAACATCTCTGTTTTACCATCCATGGTTAGGGCACAGTAGTTGCCCCGACTTTCTAATTGTGTGCTTCTTTCTTCCAACATTCGAAATAGCACATGAATCAAGGGGAGAACCTGTTCTTTCTTTCTTTCTTTTTTTTTTTGATCAGTGAGAAACATCACATATAAGAAAACAAAACATTCCCAAAGGTTAGGGGAGATGAGAGGAGAATGGGTCTGACTATAAAGGGATAGCTCAAGAAAACTTTTTCTCCCAGCAATGAGGATATTAGGCAAGTGCTATACCACTGAGCTCTTTCCCCAGACCTACAGAGACTTTTAGTGATAGAATAGTTTTGTGCCTTAATTGTGGTGGTGACTACAGGAGTTTACGCATGCAGTAAGATTACTTGGAACTACACGCACATACACACTCATTCATGTTATGCTGATAAAATCTAAATGATCAGTAGGTTATACCACTGTCAAGTTTTTGGTTTTGGTAATGCATTACTCATCATATAAAATGTTAAAATTAGGAGAAACTGAGTGAGGGTACACAGGACCCCTGCACTATTTTTGCAACTTCCTGTGAACCAATAGTTATTTCAAAATAGAAGGTGTTTTTAAAATTCCCCCAAATACATCAACTTGTTGCAGAAAGCTCGGTCCTTGTCCCCCACACCAATCCAATAATGAATACATGGTTTTGAGAAAAAGTAAAAAGATGGTTTATTGCAAAGACTCCTGTCCCAAAGGTTGTGATTTTGCTCATCAGCAGGAACAGGGAATTTTTACAGAGGTGATTCTGAGAAAGTGAGATTAGGGAGGAGACATCAGGAAGGAGAAGATCAGGGAAAAGAAGATTGGAGAAAATCAGAGAAAAGGTTAGGGAAAAGAAGATCAGGGAGGAGAAGGTCAGGGAGAAGAAGGTTAGGAAAAAGAAAAAAAATGTTAAGTTTCAAAGCCACAGAGATATAGTCAAAGCATCAAGTGAACCCCTGTTACAAACCCTTATAATCATTGGAAAGGACATTTATTTAAAGATATTCTGAAAAAAAATTTTTAAATCTCTCACTAGCTAATAAAGACTATATCAGTCTTATGACTTTGATAAATATCACAACTCCAGAATGCCACAATTTTCCTCATTGCCAACCAAGTATTTTGTACTGCCTTCTCCTTCTCCTTCTTTAACCTAGAAATCACTTGCCATAGAAAGCAAAATAAAAAGAGGCAGGTAGCCTTCCAAATACATGGACAGGAAAAACAGGTATGGAAGTGTAATGGAGCTGAGGGGAGGTGGTTTTATAACTATCACTGGTTTCAGTAGCCAGAAAGGTGACCTATGTCCCCACCCACTCTGGTCTAGTGCTCCAAGCTGGTATATGACTAACTATAAAATCCTTTTGTTTCCCTATCTGCATCAGTGACTGCTGCTATCTCTCTTACAGTCCAAGTTTAGAAAAGTCTGTTTCCTCAATTCATATCCTACAAGGAAATTATGGTAACTTCTCCCCAAACCACTCCTTTGCTTCATTTCTTTGTTCTTTTATTTACTGAACATTTTTAAAGCTCCCATTAAAAAAAAAAAACTTATAAGGAAAAAATAGGACACAAGTCCTTCTGTCAAGGACAGTCACATCAATAATAATGCTAACAGGGGCTGGGGATGTGGCTCAAGCGGTAGCGCACTCACCTGGCATGCGTGCGGCCCGGGTTCGATCCTCAGCACCACATACCAACAAAAATGTTGTGTCCGCCGAGAACTAAAAAATAAATATTAAAAATTCTCTCTCTCTCTCTCTCTCACTCCCCTCTCTCACTCTCTCTTTAAAAAAAATAATAATAATGCTAACATAGGGACATGGATATAAATTCTATAGGAGAACAGAGGGGCAAATAAAAAGATGTTGGGAATCCCAGAGGCAGGAGGCATTGGGAAAGCTTCACAGAGGATGGGCCCTTTGATTTCAGCTCCAAAGACCAGATAGGAGTTTTGCTAGATGAAGAAGGTTGGGGAAGAGCATTCCAGGCACAGGGAACAGTCTTGGAAGATGGAAAAAAGTGTGGTTTGAGAATTGGTGTGTATAAATAGGAAACCGATAATGATTTGAAGATGGGCTATAAAGAACTTCATATGCTATGCTTAAGATATGAGATTTTATATTCAATGTAGTGTTAACAGAGATGAGATCTTTAGGTACAAAAACAATAGAAACAAGTTTGAACTGAATATTGTGAGATTCACAGGCAAGATTTTGATTGTGGCTTCAGCTAAACG